ACTTGTCCTTGTTCTGATTTATTTTGCTTTACACCCTCCATTTGGCTGTGAATAGAGTTTCTTCTCTCTCTCTCTCTCTCTCTCTCTCTCTTTCTCTCTCTCTCTCTCTAAATAGCAGAATAGTATTCCATTGGAAGTCTTCTTTATATAATCATCTATTGACATGCACTTGTTGTTTCTGTATTTTAGTCATAATAAATAAATAGATACACATGCCCGATTCTTGTGTGTTCTTTGGATTCATACCATACCATTTTTCTAAACTGGTTGTACCTATTCACACCACCAATAGAAGCAGATGAAGGTTCCTTTCACTCTTTGCCCTGAAAAGCACTTGTTCCTTTTAATTCCCCAACTGGGTGCTGATATCTTATTGTGGCTTTAATTTTACTGCCCTGGTCACCTAGAGGAATGTCCTTTCAGATGCCTGTCAGCCAACTTTTTGTCCTCCTCAAAGAAACATCTGTTCAAGTATTCTGTCCTTTCTTTTTTCTTTTTTCAAATTTTTTAAAATTTAATTTAATTTTTATAAAGTAGCTCACAATATTTGATTATATTTAATATTTGAACACCAATCTCACCACCATTACACCCTCCCACCATCATACTTGGGATTTTTTCATCCTGAACCCCACCCCTGCCTCAAAGCAGAACCGAAATAATTTATTTTGTATTGTTTGTTATGAATAAAAATAGCTGAAAATGCTCCAGAAAAGTTTCCTTACAGCAAAGTATGTGAAGATTGTTGTATTTCACCCAAGGGCCATTAAACCCTTCTGTAAGAGATTACTAACAGGTTGTTAAAGGTTGAGCCTTGTGGGCACGCACACACACACACACACACACATCTGTAAAAAATATATTTCCCTCTAAGATTGCTTGCTAGTCTACTTTAAAACCCATCAAATGTAGCGTGCTACTCTTGGAGTATGAGTGGTGTGAGGGATGAGATGTCACACAGCCACAAATGTGGTCGCATGGTCCAAGAGTAGATTCACTCGTTGGTGAGGCTCATCTGAGTGTGTGGAGAGTGGCCGTGAGCATGGCGGTGGTTGAGTTAGGGAGGTTTTTAGCTGCTGGGGCTGGGTCTCTTGGAGCGGGGAGGGCCCTCACCCACCCCCATCTAAGTTTCCCCAAATAAAACAGCCTGTTGCAGAGTCCGGTGGCATGGCTTCTGAGAGAAAGACAATGACTCTCTGGATTGTGGCCGTTGAATGAGATTATCTAGTGCCAGACAGACATGGCTTGTGGGCATGACTGCCAAGTTGCTGAAAACATGGGGAGATGGGGGAAGATCACCCATGTCCGGTTTTGTTGAACCTGGAGTTTCAGTCACAAGTCCCGCGTACCTGGGTTTGCTACGGATTCACTCGTGGGTGCGGCTCACCCTGAGCATGTGGACAGCAGCTGTGAGCATGGCAACAGTTGAGTTCTGGAGGTTTGAGGCTGTCGGGGCTGGGTCCCTTGGGACAGGAGAGGACTTCTGTCCTTCTTAGGATGGGGTTGTTTGATTATTTTTGTTGTCCACTTATATATATTTTTATACCTTGAATAATCCCTTAGGGATTTTATGATATGCGGAATCTTCTCTCATCAGTAGACTATCTTTTGGTTCTGTTTTTACTTTTCTTTGCTGTCTGAATTAATTTTTAATTTAATGCAGTCACGTGGCTTATTTTTGACCTCATTTCCCCCACTGCTGGTGTCAGTTCTTCAGAGAGGTCTCTAAGGCTGATGCCATTTCATCTGCATTGTCTTCTATGTGCTTTATGATTCTGGGTCTTACTTGCAGGTCTCGAATATATTTTAAATGTATTTTTGTTTGTTTTTTGAGTCATACCAGAAGTGTTCAGGGATCACTCCTGGTGGACTCATGAGACCGTCTGAGGTGCCAGGGATCAAACCTGGGTCAGCCACTTGCAAGGGAACCACCTACCTGCTGTTCTGTCTCTCCATCTTCAGAATGTATTTTTATATGGGCTTAAAAAATAATTAAATTTCATTCTTTTGCATGTAACTGTCCAGTTTTATAAGCATTTAATGGTTTAATGATCTTGGATCCTTTGTTATAAATATCAATAAAATATGTATGTTTATTTCTGGACCTTTATCTCTTCCATTTGGTCCATGTGTCTATTATTAGTTTCGTACCATACAGGTTTAATTATTGTTAATTTGTAATATAGTTTATATTATAAACTATCAGGAAACATGTGTCTTCGTTTTCCTCCCCCCACCACTGTCCTGCCCCCAGAATTGCTTTAGTTATTTCGGGTCTCGTATGATTTCATATAAACTTTAGCATTTTTGATTCTATTTCCTTTAAAATATTATTGGGATTTTTATTGGCATTGCATTATATTTGTATATTGTTTTGGAGAGATGGATTTTTTACTATTTTCTCTCCGCTTATCTACATGAATATATTTGCATCTATCTTAATGGTCTCACTTTTCTTAAACACTTCAATCATTTTAAGTTTCTGGTTTTCAATCCAGAAGAGGCAGATTACATCTCAGCCACGACCTTCTGAAATCCAGGGCAGGAGGAGGCTGGGATCCTGCTGTGCAGGTAAGGGAAAAGTGAGGCTCTCCAGAACTCAACCCACAGCCTGTCTGAGCACTAATATGTTGCTCCAAGGGAATGGACTCTGGAATGAATCAGGCCAGATTCTTGTCTATAACATGCATTCTTTGGCATGCTACTTCTTGTACTCTTCTGAGGCCTAAGGGGTAGAATTTACAATTCTTAAGTATAAGAATCAAACCTGGGTCCACCAATCCTACCATCCCATCTGTAAAAGATAATTAAGGGCCTGTGTTGGACAGGTATCTGTCAGCAGCAGAAATGAAACAAAAAGCATGTTTGGGATTCTGCCTGTACCCAGTAGGGGGAGGTACCAGCTCTTCCTTAGTCTATGCTCCAAACCTCTTGTGATTTTCTCCCCCTTGTTTGGTGTAGTATATGCCAATTTTTATTCATGTCCATCTGGTAGTAAATTTTAGGGGAATACAAAGCATGCCTTCTAATTAAGCTAAAATCCACTGAGCTCCTGTAAAATATCAGGCAGTGGGTTTGATGAGGTATATGGTCTATTCTCCTGATCTATCGAGCTGACACGTTGACTTTCATTCCTATTAAATGCTTAATGATGAACAGTTCTTGCTCGTCTGCACTTCTGTCTAGTCCCACAAAAAATATGTCTGTTCGAGTCATGTTATTACTTTTTCCTATATGGGCTTTGGATCTGGCAGCTGCATTTTACTGTCAACAATGCATATGTCTCTTACAATCAGTGATAAGTTTAGTAAAGAATTTACTTTAGTAAAGAATTTAACTTTAGTAAAGAATTTTACTAAATTTTACCAACTTTAGTCAAGAATTCTCAGCAGATGAAATTTCTTTATGAGCAGATTTCCAAGCCCGAAGATTAGTGTGCATTAGATTACTCTGTGTATCTGGGGAGCAGGGGTAGGGGCTGATAAATTTCTGTCAGCCACACTTGACTGAGTGGGCTGTTGGCATCCGGTCCATTTTCCAGCACCAAAGAAATGAAGAAGCAGCTGTTTTTTGATAGGTGCTTTATTCTATTTTTAAAATAAAAACACGCCACGTGAATCTTGCTTTTCCAGATAGTTTTTATTTTATATTAGGAGGGTAAGTAGAATTAGTAGGCTCATAAATCCCCCATTCGGATTACCAAATAGGTTAACTAGAGTGTCTTTTTCCATCAGCGGTAGCCCCCAGAGGATCTGAGGCTTTTAGTTGCATTGAACTTGGTAGTTGGAAAGGATCATCCACCAATTACCAATCTTCCAGTTAGCTTCAAAACAAAAACGAAAACAAAGGCCTTCCATGTGGCCTAAGAGCTACCCTGTGATCTTAATCTTTACATTTTTTTCAGTTGTTGTTCATTGCTCATTACTTTCCATCTATCAGAAAAGTTATTTCTGAAGAATTGAAACCCCAGAGGGTAACCACAACAAAAACATGTTGATTTTTTTTCTTCAGTAATAATGATTTAAATGCAAACTTGGAGAAAAGTCATATTTGGTAGAAGGCAAATGCATAGAAGAAAATTGTTCTAATTTCTACCATAAAAAATTAAAAAGTTCTACAGTAATTTCCAAGACAAAAGAAAAAACGTGTAATGAATTTACGTTGTCATTGTAATGACAAAATGTTGTAGTTACTTTTAAAATGAAAAGACTGAAAGTGAAAGAAACATATAACTGAAATAAAAAAAGGGAAATGGGTTTATGAAGAATCTCACTCGAGATAAATATATTAACTGTACTCTTTCCTTGTTATCTCTCATAACATCTTCACCAACGTCTTTGAAAGCTTATTTTCAGAGAACTAAGTAACAGTCAACATTTTGTGAAGGTTCAACCTTGCAATTCATTCAGGATTCAAGGAATCTGCATTTTCTTTCCCCTTGCCGTGTGAAGCCCCTATTCCCACTCACCTCAGCATATAGAAGGGCAGCCCAGCAGGCCGATTTATGCCTCAGTTTCCTCACATGTTTGACCATTGGTCCTCCTGATCTCTTCCACATCTTCCTTCCCACAAGAGGAAGTAGCAATTCCAACTCGACCATTACTCCGGTGACGGGGCCTTCTCCTGTCAGTGCCCTAGTAACGATGTATGCTCTTTGTCATTCTTCTGGAGGATAGCTGACCACCGTTCCACCTCTTTCTTTGGGGATAACATCTGTATCTTCCTAAGTCCAAATATGAAGTGAACATTTCCCAGTTTGGACTAGAATCTAATGCTTGGACAAGAAAGTGAGGAATCTAATGTTCGGACTAAAATTTATGAATTCTGGTGTAAGAATCCAGTGACTTCCTAGATTTTGGTCAGAGCAGCAGCTGAGGACTGTCCTGTTGCTGAAGCCCCAGTGGCTACACCCCTGATCATGAAAAACGGTCCCCAGGAACTTGGCAGCTATAGCGACCCTCACCCTCTCTCTCTCTCTCTCTTTTTGCATCCTTAAATAGATTTCAACAGACCAAAATGCCGTCTCAAATGGAGCATGCCATGGAAACCATGATGTTCACATTTCACAAGTTTGCTGGGGACAAAGGCTACTTGACAAAGGAAGACCTGAGAGTACTCATGGAAAAGGAATTCCCTGGATTTTTGGAAGTAAGTGTTGACAGGCTCAAAGAATCAGACCTGAACATCAATGCTTCTAGAGGCTATGAAGATAGTTCAAAGGGAGGGAGGCATGCCCTGTGTGTACAAGGCTCCAAGTTCAATTCCTAGTGCTTCATACACCACAGCAGCAGCGCCGGTGTGTAGCACATCCGCTTTGTATAATTTGCCCCTCTTATCTTCAGTCAGTTAAGATTAAGACTTTATAGAGGGCTTAGAGACAGTCCAGGGATGATGGCACTTGCCTTGATATGGTTAACCCCTATTCCATCCCTGGAAGTACCGGTGGTCCCCCAAGCACCACCAAGAGTGACCGCTGAGCAGAGAACAAGAATTAAGCCCTGAGCACTACAAGGTGAGCCCCACCACCACCACCAAAAAAGAAAAAAAAGATTAGACATTTAAATTTTTTTTCCAATTCTGTCAGCTGTGAATGAGAGCCAAGCATCACTCCAGAAATAAGTGCTTTGCTTTTTGGTGTTTTTTATTGTTGATGTTTTTTGTTTTGTTTTTTGTTTTTTGGGTTTTTTTTGGCTTTTTGGGTCACACCCGGCAATGCTCAGGGGTTATTCCTGGCTCATGCACTCAGGAATTACTCCTGGCAGTGCTCGGGGGACCATATGGGATGCTGGGAATTAAACTCGGGTTGGCCGCGTGCAAGGCAAACTCCCTACTCTCCCTACTCACTGTGCTATCACTCCAGCCCCATGCTTTGCTTTTTTGCTTGTTTTACATAGTTATAACCTAGACCAGAAGTTAGAGATCCAGCTAAACCCTAACAGCAGACAGCTCTCTAAGCCTCATCTCCCTCCTCTGAAATGAGAGGGCAGCATGCATTTCCCTCCAAAGTGGTGATCATTTCCTCCAGTCCTTCCAAGCAGACATAGATACAAGGACAGAATGTTCTGTGCCTGTCCCCAAGGACTAGAGGTGTTCTCACACTAAACACGCACTAATGGTACCATTTTGGAAATTAGAAACCAGATAGATCTCACAGGAGACACAGACCCTTCATCCCAGAAGGCTTTCTGGCATGAAAAACAGAAAGGGGGTGTGTGTCACAGAATGCTGGAGATGCAGTGTCATTTATTCCAGACACATGTCATTTATTCCATGCATGCATACATTTGCAGTGTACTGAAAGAGTGTCTTCTTTCTAAAGTGGACCCCTAATATCATTCACATTTACTCCTGACCACAGACTGGAAGAAAGGTGAGGCCAGAGTGGACTGAGTCTGCTCATCCGAGTTGGAGGTTGCAGCATTGTACATGCAGTAACGGAATACTTAGGGCACATAGGAAATACGGCAGTAGGGATTTATGAATGCAGTGCAGCTTACACCCAGCCAGCACCCTGGTGACACAGAACCTGCTCCCTTATTCATGTACAGTTGGCAGAATTCATAAATCATTTGCAGGAGATGCACTCTCCCACTTCTAAGCATCATCACCCCAGAAGGGAGGGCCCAGGCTGGTCACTTTGGCCTTTCATCTCATACTGATTTCCAAGCTCTGCTGACATTCTGGACACTCCTCCATTCTTAGTTGTCCACAAAGGCCCACTGAGTATGTGACTGCTCACCAGCCACGTGGCTAATATGGTATAAAACCATACTGACCTGGCCTCAGCTGTGCCATGGAGTGCCAACCATCCAGCCTTCCACTCCACACTCTGACCTCACGAGCCCCACTATAAAATAGCACTATGAATATCTGAAACTGATGCCTAAAATACATTTAGGAGGTCTTGTCCTATGTTTTCCTATTTTTTTTTGTTTGTTTTGGGGGCCACCCCTCACTGGAAGTGCTCAGGGGTTACTCCTGGTTCTGCACTCAGGAATTATTCCCAGAGAGGCTCAGGGGACCATATGAGATACTGGGGACCAAACCTGGGTTGGCCGCATGCAAGGCAAACACCCTACCTGCTGTATGGTCACTCCAGCCCCCAAATTTTCCTCTTTCAAGGATTTAACCAAGCTATCCGGAATGAAATGTCATTAGAATAGAAAGTTTAAACTACACAAAAGGCAGTTTAGAGCGATTCTCACACAGAATCTTGGGGATTTTGAGATTTGTAGAAACAGCTGATGAGAAGCAGAGCGAGTCAGAGGCCAGGTTCTGTTCTTCCAAGCCACAGGAGTGATAGAATGAGAATTTGGAGGCCTGACTGCAGCTCACTAACCTTCCTCCTATATCTAGAATTGGGGCATTTCTTTTATTCGTTGTTTTGTTTGGAGCCACAGCCAGCGATGCTCAGGACTTACTCCTGGCTCTGAACTCCAGGATCACGCCAAGTGAGGCCTGGAGGTCCCTGTGGGATACCAGGGATGGACCCTGGATTGGCCACATGTAAGGCAAGCACCTTACCCACTGTACTATTGCTGCGGCCCTGAATCAGGATATTTCTGCCATTCTCTTTTATACTTACATAAAAGAATGTATTTAAACACCTTCACATGCTTAAAATCTAAATTTATTGAAATATGTCAAGGCAAATATGCATCAGAGACGTCCAAAACTCAGTAGGACTAAAACAAGAATTTAGGTAACTGGGAGGTATAATACATGTCGTCAGCAGTACAGATCATGGAAGCTCATCTTTGCCAACATTGATGGGTATTTCTTGTGTTTGTTCATTTCAGAATCAGAAAGACCCTCTGGCTGTGGACAAAATTATGAAGGACCTGGACCAGTGCCGGGATGGCAGAGTGGGTTTCCAGAGCTTCTTCTCACTCATCGCAGGGCTCACTATCGCCTGCAATGATTATTTTGTTGTTCATATGAAGCAGAAGGGAAAGAAGTAGGCAGCAGATGGCGTGAAGTGACTCCCGCCCCACACGGGAGTCCCCCGAAGGGCCCCCAGGATCAGCTCCACAGCTTCCCCCATGGCAGGATTTTATGAGCAGACTTGGACCCTTAGAAAATGTCCCAATACAATCCAACCCCCGTTTGGCCAAAAGAGAAAGAAAAATTACCAGATAAGCTTTTGATTTTTGTATTGCTTCACTCCCTTTACCCTCAATAAACAAGTTCCTTTTTTATTTCCTGATTTGACAGTATGTTTATTCCTTCTTCAGAAAGGCTTATTCCTAGAATATGCTAGTATAGTGGGTAGGGCATTGCCTTGCACACAGCTGATTTGGGTTCAATCCCTGGCACCCCATGTGGTCCACTGAGCCCGGCCAGAGTGATCCTGAGCACCCCTGGGTGTGATCCAAAAACAGAAAAGAAGGGAGGAAGGAACAGAGGGACAGAGGGAGGCTCCTGGGCTGGGTCTCTGCTCTATTCAGGCTTAGTAATTCCTGAAGCATTCGCCATAGTTCATACTGGCAGGCAAATGACACACACCGTAAGGCTCTTCCCACGTGGGATGTGGTTCCCACATCCAAGTCTCAAGGAAATGCCTCTAATTAGCAGAACTTCAGTCACATTCCCAGGCTGTGGAAGGAGTCAGGAATGAAGTATTCCACATTCTAAACCTCTCACTCCGAACTAGAGTGCCTCTCCACCAACCCTGCCATGGACACACTGATTGATTCTAAGTCTTCCATTCTGTTAGATGAAACTCTGATAGCACACCAGGTAAGGCTGTACCTAGCATGCAGCTGACCTAGGTTCTATCCACGGTATCCCATATAGTCCTCTGAGCTCACCAGGAGTGATCCCTGAGCATAGAGCCAGGAGTAAGCCCTGAACATCATGGTGTGTGGCCCAAAGATCAAAAATGGAAAGGGAAACTGAATCTAGGGAAGGGAGGATATAAAAAAATAATCTCTTTAATAGCTACAGGGCTTAGAGAAACCACAGGTAAACCATCTCTGTCTGTGAGAACATGTATCAGCCAGATTGAATCTTCTGATTTATTCTACATAAGCCCTGGGTATTACTGACAGGGGTTCAGTTTGCAAATGGCTAGATGAAAATATTAACATTGGACTCTAATAGACGCCAAATCTATAACAAATTTCTCACTCTGAGCCTCTGTATCTGCAGATAAAGAATCCCCTCTCAAGAGGGAGTCTCCAAAGAGGAGGAAGAGAAAAGAAATATCAATTTATCTTGATAGTGGGCATGTAACTTTGAGAAAAATTCCAAAGCAAGGTGTTATTTCCTGGAAACTCCAGATTCTTGACATTCAGGAAGGCACGAGATGCCAGAGAATCATCTGGGTTATGTATTTGGTGTATGTGTATGTGTGTGTGTGTGTGGGGGGGGTGCTTGTGTGTGTATGTGGGGGTTGAGGGGAAGGGGACTATACTGTCCCTTGGGTGGGAAAGAATGGGAGAGAATGACACTTCTCACTTTGAACCTATTGCTCAAAAAGTAGGGCGCTTGTAGAAGGAAAATTTAGATCATATTTATGGCTTGAAAACAGCGTGGCTCTCCCTGCCAACAAAAACACAGATCCCACAACCTGACCCACTGAAATAGCCACAGAGGCATCAGCTGCAGCCTAATGCCTCCCAGAGGGTCGAAGGGACAATCATGCTAACAGCCATCAAGAGGAATCATCTGGAAAATTCCACTCCATGGTTGCATTGTGAAGCAGTTCCTGCCCCTCCACACCCATCCAAGAAGGGGAAGATTTCAAACATGGTACAATACACAGCTGATCTTAAAAAGTGCCCCACTTGGCACCCTGCTAGAGGGTGTGCGTATAAAACTACCAGCCATAGTATTGTAAGTTGTGGGGCTTAAAATAAGCTCCACAATTTTTTTTAAAGAAGAAAAAAGACCATTTTATCTCTTGGACACAGCCCTTTGTCCAGGTCCTTTAACAGGAGCTGTGACTCATGTGACTTTTTACCCAACTCATCCCAGTGGGACAGCAAGGGCAGGTCTAGAAACCTCGGTTTGATCCATTCAAAAGTGGTTGCTCAAACACTCCCCAGCCCTTTGTTCCAGAGGGAGAGCTGTGGACTGGAATTTGGCAGATATTAATCAGGGCGAATATAAAGAAACCAATGCCACAGAGCCCACTTAAGGAAATTAGACTGAAAAGTAATATATGAAGCAGACGAGAAAGGAAAACTTCAAGAGACGCCAGGGGTGAGATGCTATAAGCTTCCATGGTCACTTTTACATCCATGACCAGCACATGCTTTGGGGAGGAAATGTTAGCAGTATGTGCCAGGATCTTTTTCATGCTTTCTTTGGCCCAGTTTTTCTATTCTTAGGAACTTGTCTTAATAAAGTAATGAAAAATATTTACAAAGATGGTTACACAAAGATATTTGATGCAGTCTTATTTATGGTGGCCAAAACCTGAACATTATCTCAAGGCAACAATAGTATTAGGGTTAATTAAATATGGGTGTACAAACAAAAGGGAATGCCCTGCCACAGAGGCAGGGTGGGATGGGGGGATGGGGGTGGGAGGGATACTGGAATCCATGGTGATGGAAAATGGGTACTGGTGAAGGGATGGGTATTTGATCGTTATATAATCGAAACCCAAGCACAAAAATTTATAAGTCTACAATTGTACCTCATGGTGTTTCACTAATAAAAAATTTTTTTTAAAAATATGGGTGTACTTGGGATATTATATAGTTCCTGAAAGCCATGATTTTGAAGAACACTAAGTGAAATGGTAAGTAAAGATCAGATCACAGATCACAGATCATCCTGTTATTCGTCGATTGCCTCGAGCAGGCCCCAGTAACATCTCCTTCATCCTAGCCTTGAGATTATATTCAAGGCTCTTTAGGAGAATGAGACCCATCATTGTTACTGGTATTTGGCTATTGGGTACGCCACGGGGAGTTTGCCAGACTCTGCCGTGTGGGCAGGTTACATTCGGGAGCCTGCCAGTTTGTCAAAGTAGGAATGAGATGTCATAATAAAATGTCGCGCGGCCGCAAATGTGGCCGCACAGTTCCAGGATCTGGTTTTTATAGTCTCTGAGTCTTGGCCGCTGATGGGATTACACGGCACCAGGGGGGCAGTTGGTGGGTGTGACCCCCGCCTACTGGAAATTGGAGGATCTGGGTGGAGGATGCTCGACTCCAATCCTTGGTAAGTACTTGGTAAGTAAAGCAGGTTGCAAAATTAGTTTATAATGAATTTTTCCCAGGGGGGGCCCACACCAAGCAGTGCTGAGGATCAAACCTAATATTCCCATTTGCAAAGCTTGTGCTGCTTTAGGCCTTTGAGTATGCTTCCCGGCCCCTCTGAAATGCCTTTCATTTAAAATTGTACGCCTGGTTGGAAATGTAGCTCAATGATAGAACATTTGGCTTGCACATGTGAAGCCCCTAGGTTCAATCCCATGCGCCACTTTTTCAAAAAGCTTCCATAAAATTTTGTGTGTCAGTATATACACAGAGAAAGGAAAAGAGTAAAGGAAAGACAGCCAGCTAGCTGTGCTTCAGTTTTCAGGGTAGGGCTGGCTTTAGACATTGCTGTTCCAGGGGAAAAGTTGATGAGGTTTTTTTCATGTTTTCTCTTAAGCTTTCTTCTACCATTTTACTTTTACACTGGAAAACAGTTCTCCAAATTAAATATTTTTATTAAAATGATTTTTTTTCTTTTTGGGTTACACCCGGTGATGCACAGGGGTTACTCCTGGCTCTGCACTCAGGAATTACTCCTGGCAGTGCTCAGAGGACCATCTGGGATGCTGGAAATTGAACCCGGGTCGGCTTTGTGCAAGGCAAATGCCCTACTCACTGTGCTATCTCTCCAGCCCCTCAAATCATTTTTTTAAGCAAGAGAGTCTACCATGACTCAGGTATATGAGAAAATTTTTATTCCTTTTCTTGTTCTTTTTTTGGTCACACCCAGCCGTTTTCAGGGCTTACGCCTGACTCTGTGCTCAAGGATCACTTCTAGCAGTGGTCAAGGGGCCTTATGCAGTGCCAGGATAGAACAGGAGTTCATTGCATGCAAGGCAAATGTCTTACCCCTTATACTATCTCTCCTGTCCTGAAAAACTTCTTAAATATTATTATATTTAGCCCTCATAATTACCCTCTTGGGGTTTTCTATTCATCCATCTGGGAGGATGTGGGCACTCCCAGTGGTACTCAATGCTGTTCCAGTTACGAGTGACCCTTGGTGATGCTCAAGTGAATAGTGAGAGCTTGATTTCTTCCTTTCCTATTTGGATGCCCTTAATATCTTTTTCTTGCCTAACCGCTATTGCAAGTATTTCCAGAACTATATTGAACAAAAGTGGTGAGCGTGGGCATCCTTGTCTTGTCCCTGATCTTAGAGGGAACTGCCTTCTCTGTTCTTGATGTTTCTTAGAAAGAGAAATATGAGTCCCCATCCTGCTTTATCAAATTCTGTAAGCTGGACTGTGATAGGACATGGGTGCTGGAGATAGGAGTGGAACCAGTGTGGTGCTGGGGATCAATCCAAGCTTGGCCAAAGCTGCCATATGCAAGACAAGCTTCTTCCTTCATGTACCACCTCTCCAGTCCCTATGATTTGCATTTTTTAAACATTTTATGCTTTTTAAAAATAAAGAGATCATTGTGAGGTAAACAAGTCTAGTCAGAAAAAAATTTAGGTCAGAAGGGAAGATTGTCTCGTCTTTAAAGTTTAAACAAGTTAATATCAGATTGAGGCTGAGTATGAGTACCCAGTTTCCCGGTTCTGTCTGGCCCATGTGCTCATCTGGCAGCCTCTGTGATGGGGTCAAGTGCTAATCCTATTCTTCGGTTGACTTGGCCAAGGATCAGAGCTAGTAAATGGTAGAGGCAAGATATGAACCAGCTGTCTGAGGTTTTAGCTATTCTCTCTTGCTCCTTCTCCAACTGGAAAAAAAAACGGCACAAAGAAAGGTCCTGTCCAGGAGGCCAGGCAAGACACTTGTGTTTCCCAGGGCTGTGAAGGTGAACAGGAAAGGGCAGCTGTGATAAGCAGAGCCTCACTGGGAAATAGTAAACGGTAAGTGAATGTGACAGTGAAGTCACTCTATCCCTAACTCCACCCGTGTAAAGTTTGGTTTCTTTGAAAAGGGGACATATATATATATATATATATATATATATATATATATATATATATATCACCCCTTATCTACAGCACCCATGTCCTATCACATT